TAGTAGTGGTGTCCCAATTCTTAGGGGAATATTTTCACCCCTACCCCTTGACACTCTGTTTCAAGGGACAAAGGGAAGGGGAAGGGGAAGGGGTATAAAATAGAATTGGGATTGGGCCTTAGAGTCTGTGTGAGCAGACCAATATTATAAACTTTTCTCTAGCATCATCTTCTCAAAGCAATAAAATAAATTCAACTTAAGTAACAGAAAAAAAAAATTATTGCAGAAAATATAGAATATAGCACTTGTAGCAGGGATGCACATGTATTCTTTGCCAGGCTGGACACTCATGGAGAATTGACCTGGTGCTGCTTCCATCATTCCAGGAGGTTTGGCCTCACCATCAACTTAAACTGTCAAATAGTTGTTAATCTCCATTTCAATGGACTCTCTCTCTCTCTCTGAATGAGGGACAGCTTGCCATTGGCATAAAGCAATTCAGAAGATGCTGCTCAGACTTTTCTTCTGTTTCTTAGGAAGTTCTGCTCTCTAGCATCTTCGACTGGTCGTAATGAGACTTCTCAACAGACTTTCTTTGTTCAGCTTCAAGACTCTCCATCCCTGGTGCAACATTGCCCTTCATGTCCACTCATTCTGTGTTAATGGTTTTAAAGTGAGGGTCAAGAAGGAAGCCCTGTCAAACAGCTCCTGTGTGGATTGGTCTGCCTGTTTCTCATCTTGATCTCCTTGGTGAGCTGAGTGTCATCATCCTGTGGATTGAGAACCTGCTCATTTAAAAGATGAAGTATGAAACGCTCGCATGCTCTTCTCCAGACAAGGCATCTGTGAACTCCAAGGACTCAATGCTCTGTTCATAGATTCAAGAACATCCATGTCCTACCATGTTAGAGTCAAATGTCCGGTCTTTTTGTCAGCTTGCAGAACTGTCTCATCTTGCTGGTGTCTCAGCGATGAGCTTATGAGCAGGCAAGCCTATAGCTGTTGCTGAGCAATGGCCAGTTCTTGCTATCTTTTCCAAGTATTTGAGAAGGTACTTGCTACGCCAGCTGCACACATCTCTCCGTTTATATTGAAAGGGGAGAGGGATATGTTTAAACATGCTGAATCAACAGCTGACAATCACACTTCATGAGACAAGTAGCATGTATATTTTAAAAATGTTTAAAATATTTATCTCTATAATTATGATTTAATAAGGTTAACCAATGAATAATATTACAGTTAAAAATGTATTACAAAATGATAGATAAAAACAATGAAGATTTATTATCCTTTTTATTAGACATTCACCAATGGTTAAATGAAGACGATGGGCAAAACACTGTATCCTCATCCAGTGATTTAATTGCAGTGTTTTGATGTTGTTTGTGGCATTATCAGTGGTAACACACTTGATGATCCTCTCGGAAAGTAGGAAGTCTGTAGATGTCTACTGCACAATGTCCAACCTTTGATTAAGTGGATTGTTAAGCTCATATAATTGGGGGAAGCCGTGGCCTAATGGTTAGAGAGTTGGACTCGTAACCCAAAGGTTGTGGGTTTGAGTCTCGTACCGGCAGGGATTGTAGGTGGGGGGAGTGAATGTACAGCGCTCTCTCCCACCTTCAATACCACGACTGAGCTGCCCTTGAGCAAGGTACTGAACCCCCAACTGCTCCCCGGGCGCCGCAGCATAAAAAATGGTGCCCACTGCTCCGGGTGTGTGTTCACGGTGTGTGTGTTCACTGCTGTGTGTGTGCACTTTGGATGGGATAAATGCAGAGCACTAATTCCGAGTATGGGTCACCATACTTGGCCACATGTTACGTCACTTTATATATGGCTGTGTAGTTCGGCTCGTCCACTGATCGTTATGTATGGTAAGTATGAAAAATTACAGAGCTCCTCTTGAATTTTCCCTCTGCTTTCTCTATAGGCTGCAATCACAGCAACTGAACTTAATTGAAGTGCTTGTGGTTCAGTATCACATACTGTACCTCAGATCAAGTGCTTTGATCAAGTCACAAAACCCAATCATTTCCACAATGTAAGCTGTTTCTGTGTCTTTCCATCTAGCCTATACATCGTAATGTCCTGTTATTTCCTTCCATGAGCTTTTCTTATATGAAGTGCCTGTGGTAAAAGATTGTGCCAAACTAGTTTGTATCTGAGGTGATTGTGTTTTCTTGCTTTAAGCACCAGAGCTTGACAGACTGTTTGATGCAGGGCACATCTTTTGGTTTTCACTTCACTCAATCTCATGTGCAGGAGCGCTGAATGTGAGTTAGTCACAGCCACTTGTGCACATACCACAGAATAGAAAAATCTGTTCTCTACTGTATAGATTAGCTGTATTGAATCTCTGAGTGAAATAAGGTCTGTTGTGGTTGGAAGCAACTTCTCAGTAGTTTTTCAATCAGAAATAAGTAAACAATTTCCTCATGCAACAAGTGAAAATGCAGTTTTTTGTTTTTTTTTTGGCAAAAGTTCTTGAATATTATGTGGAATTACATTTGCTTCAATAAAATATATAATTATTATAATTGTTTGTAATTATTTGAGGAAATGTTTCAGACTCAGAGGTAGCCATGGCTCCAAAGCGCTAATTCCGTTTCAGGTTTTAGGACTACAAATTGAACAAAGTATCTCTCTATTACTCAAGCGTCTTTTCATTGTGAGATTTTTGCAGGTATGAGTTCACCAGATGTTGTAAGGCTGAACTTCAAACAAATGAGCATCAAAGCAGTGTGACTACAGTAGGCTACCAATAAGAGTGCAGAAAGTAATCTCTGCCTGAGAGTTTGATGCATCTCCAGTGATTGTTTTCAGCTGTTTTGCATATATCTACTAATTTACTAACATGTGTTCAGCATCGGCCACACCGTGCCTTATCAATCAGTAATATTTTCCACTTGCAGTCAGGAGAGGAGTTGTAAAAATTATGATGATATTCAGAGATATACCAGGTAGTGCGTTTTATGTGTACCTTTTCATTTAACCCACAAACTTTGAAAACAATAATTCAGTTTGGCTTGATGATTTCTATAGTGTACTAAATCACTAGAGATTTTGCGTGTTCATGATAGTAGTCTAGTCAAGTCACCTTTATTTGTGTAGCGCTTTATACAATACTGGTTGTGTCAAAGCAGCTTTACAGTGATAAACAGGAAAATAGTTTGTCAATAATGCAAGAAGACAATAACAGTCATATTTTCCAGCTAAAGTCTGCCACTGATTTGGGCAGCAAATCATGAATGTCATATAGAAATAATACTCTGATTATCTCAATTTAGTCACCTTCTGATTGAAACCAAAGATAGAACTACAGATCCTTTTGTAATTATTATAAACATTACGTGTAGCTTGCAGATCATGAAGACTAGGGGCTTTAAAACACATTTAAAATAGACGCGTTTATGAATAGTCAACAGCATAAATTGCGATTCATTAAAAATAGCTGATATTCATTACGAGATATAAAACTTTTCTACTCCGTTTATTAATAAATGCAATGCACAAAAGATGAATAGTTTGACATGTCAAAAGGAAAAATGAAAAGGCGCTTAAAATGAACGGATGCACTAGTGGCGCACACAAGAGCCGCGTTTCACCTTTGTTTACATGCGTAACAGTTCCTTCCGCGAGGAAAACAAGATCTGGACACTTAAGTTTAACGTTAAAACAAAATAACAAAAATCACGCAAACTTGCACATTTACTGTGAACAGTTGATGAAAACACACACAAGATGTTAGCGATGTAGATAGAGACAGCGAAGCTAAGGGAACACGAGAGCGATGCAGCGGAGGGATACCGGAGTGCACAGCGGCGCAGCTGCGCAGAGACACTGGGCAGAGGATAAATGCTGTAGCGGTGACATATTTAATTTTTGCTCAAAATAATCCAACGAATCGCCATTATGCCGGGAATGATGGACAAAGGGTCGGAATATCTGGGGAAAGGTCGCTCAAATGGGACGAAAAGCCCGTCTAACGCCTCGAATGGACATTTTTCGGACGAGAGCGGCAGCGACGACGAGCACGGTATAGCCTCGAACACCCCTGCGGAGGTTGTTTATATATTTTAATGAAATACAAATGGTTTAATAAGTACGAAACATCACACAGTTTTTCTTGTTTTCAGATGTGGGCATGCGTGTGGGCTCAGATTATCAAGCTTATATTCCTGAGTTTGATCCAGGTAGGGAAAAGCATTCCGCCTTTAAGAACCTGACTGACTGTGGTAGCCTCGGTACACTTATCGCTCCGAACAATTTGTGTGTACTCAATATTTTAAACGTGCATTCAAGGATTTTGGGGGTTCGAATGGACAATATTATTATTTTAAACCGGTTTTGAATGGTAGTGTATGATTACGTACTCATGAAAAGCTTTTTGTGAAAGGTTGTTAGCGTTCTCGCTTAGCCACTCATCAGCTAATATAACCCAGTAACTTTGACATATGATAAATAATGTTGGTTTTTGTACATTTATAAAGGCGATAAAATAGCAGTTTTGTGTGCTATTCAGGACTGAATTGAGAATGCCTTTTAAATTACTAATTAATTTGTGTATTTAGCAATAGGGTGCATAATTGTAAACGGAATCTGATTTAACCCTCAAATACCTGCGACACTGAATAGCTTTTTAATAAAAACTAGTAACTCGATCACATTAACAGTTGACAGGCCAGACATTACGAATTGAATGTTATATAAAAGGTTACCGCTTATTTACACTTTTGGAGCAACAATTTTCCGACTATTTAGCCTGTGGTTTTGTTGTTGTTGTTGTTTCTTAGTTCCCAGAATGTTTGGGAATGATTACTCTTATAATGTGCTGAGAAAAAATATTTGTCCCTTTACTTGGGTCTTTCATTTAGAAAGTAGAATTAACGTATTGCATTTGAATTGTAACACATTTTAAGGAATATGTTAATAATATTACAATATATTTATGTAACTTATTGACACATGTAATACACACTTTTTGTATTGGAATGTTGTAGGCTCCACAAAATACAGCGATAAAGACAACGGTGGCATGTTGGTTTGGTCTCCATATCACACCATACTTGACTCTAAATGTAAGTATTTGCAGCTTCTTTTTTGTCATTTAATTTTTTTATTGAGACCACATCATGCAGGTTATTTGTGTCTGTATTATTTTTCTCCTTAGTGGATGAGTACATTGCAATTGCGAAAGAAAAGCATGGATATAATGTTGAGCAGGTGAGTTACGAGAGCACAGTCTTCAGAGATAGCTTGTTGTCAGTGATTACTAACGTTTGTATGTCTTCTGTGCTCCACAGGCTCTCGGCATGCTCTTCTGGCATAAACACAACATCGAGAAGTCCCTTGCTGATCTGCCAAACTTCACCCCCTTCCCTGATGAGTGGACGGTGGAGGACAAGGTGTTGTTTGAACAAGCGTTCAGTTTTCATGGGAAGAGCTTCCATCGGATCCAGCAGATGGTGAGTCGTCACTGCTAGTGCTACTGAGCTAACAGTGACATGTCTTCAAGCTAGAGGGTTAATCTCATTATAAATGTGTCATGGTCACATTTAATCTCAGAACCAGGAAGAGAAGTGAGATATAATATATTGCATCCAGGTTTGTGTGTTTTTAAACGATTATCATTATGTTATTGTAATACAGTAATTTTTCATTGTATTGCATTTACTTTTTAATTTATGCTAATTTACGTTCAAGACTGTTCAACAAATACTGCCATGATGTATAAAAGCCTTACCAGTGGAATAAAATCTTTTAATTTTGCATTAAGGTCATGTGCATAATTATCTTTGTTACAATGTCAAATTAAATTTGTATACTTATATACACCACTGGACAAAACTTAAATAATTAATATTGTTTTTAATGTTCATGAAAGAATTCTCTTAATACTCTATTCAGAAATCATAGAGTAGAAATAGTAATATTATAAAATATTATTTCAATGTAAAAAAATCCTTTTTCCATTTTTATATATTTTTCAATATTGTTTATTTCTGTGAGGCAATACTGTGAAGTGTTAGATTTTAAATAACTGTTCTATTTAAATGTGTTTGAAAGTGTGATGCACAGCTGTATTTTCAGCATAATTTCTCCAGTCTTCAGTGTCACATGATCTTCAGAAATCAGTATAACATGCTGATTACTGCTCAACAAACATTTCTGATTATTATCAATGTTGAAAACAGTTGTGCTGCTTCTTTCAAATAAATGCTGTTTTTTTGATCATTAAACATTTGCTGTTCTTTCTATTCATTAAAGAATCCTGAAAAAATGCATCCAGGTTTAAGCCCCAAAACCAATAAGATATTACATGATACTGTACAGTAGGGCTGCACGATAAATCGAAATGGAATCGAGATCGCGATTCGACAGAAGCTGCGATTGTCATGCGTATCTTTCAGTGAAGCACGGTTCTGTGATCAGCAGTAAATCTCCATCCAAAGGCCAGAGGGCGCTCTCGTGCTGAAACTCCAAATATGCCTCGCAGAAGAAACCCAGAAAATGCCTATCGCTGGAGCTGAATAAACAGAAGATTCAACTGCTTTCATTGATTCAACGTGACTAATAAACACATGACTACAGCAATATACGGTTTATCTAAGTTCTTATTATAATTTTCATTCAAATAAATTAGGGATGCACCGATACCACTTTTTTCAGTACTTGCCCGATGCCGATACTTTTATTTTTGGTACTTGCTGATACCGAGTACCGATACCAATATTTTTATTGCATTTGTACATTTTTAAAATATTGGGTACAGAAACCAAAAGAGTATGTATAATGTTAGTTGGTTAACTTCATTTATCAAATAGATACAGTCAAACCTAAATTTATTCAGACACCTTCAACATTTCTCACATTATCACAGTTTATTTGCTATAGTTTAGAAAATGGTAATAAAATATAACAAGAACTCAAGAGTTAAACGGAGTCAGAACAAATTTTTTATCAGTTTTACTGGTAGTCCACGTATAAAGAATTTTTGGGAATAATTTATCACAGTTTACTTTATTTTGCTATACTCACTTACATAAATGAACTCGGTGTTTCTTTGTTTGAATATGGCGTTTATCACATGCTGTGTGGCATGTGATAAGCGCATTTTCGGGGCATTTTAATGAGTACGAGTATGAGTACAAGAGCTCAGTATCGGGCCCGATACCGATATGGTGCATCCCTAAAATAAAGTATATTTATAATGCAATGCCTTTATCACTGCTTAAATACTATGAAATATGTTGCGTGCCTTATTCTGTGTAAGAAGCCACATCATCTCACAGAAGGATTTATTTCAAACACTCGACTGACGTTATGAAGTGAGTTTGGAGTAAAAATATGTTATTAAATGTGGTATTTTCACATGCTTTCAGATGGAGCAGCATTTACTACACAGAGCCGTAGTTCACTGAGAAGCTATGCAAACAGCTGTCATTATCGTGAACGATTTCTTCGATTTCATACTCGCGCAATAAAATCGTCTGGGATTTATTTTTATTTTTTTGCGTAACTTGTCAGTGAACTACAGCTATGTGTAGTAAATGCTGCTCCATCTGAAAGCACGTGATGATGATTTACTGCTGATTACAGAACCGGCTTTACTAACAAAATGCGCATGACAATTGCATTCGATTAATCGTGCAGCCCTACTGTACAATACATTATTAATAACTGCGCAGTAAATCAACATATTAGAATGATTTCTGAAGATCATGTGACACTGAAGACTGGAGTAATGATGCTGAAAATACAGCTTTGATCATAGCAATACATTACAGTTTAACATGTTCACATAGAAAACAGTTCTTTAAATTTTAATAATGTTTTACTGTATTTTTTATCAAATAATTGCAGTCTTGATTTCTTTAAAAAAAAAAACATTATTACTGCAAAATGTAATTCGCCTTTTTGTTAATAATGCCATTTTATTTTGGTATAAAAGTCTTTGTGAGATTCACTCTATTGAAGTCATCAGATACGTCACTTCATAAAACCAGGCAACCATCATTATTTACAATTTCATATTTTGCTTTATTAATTCTTGAATTTGATAATTGATTGTAGTTGCCGGACAAATCCATATCCAGTCTTGTGAAGTACTACTATTCGTGGAAAAAAACGCGATCCCGGACGAGTCTGATGGACCGACAAGCACGAAAGCTGGCAAACCGGAGTAATCAACATGAAAGGTCACTTATCCATTCACTTGCCTCGCTTTTGATCTGTGAGCTCACTTACAAGTTGATTCAAGTTTAGTGTTTCTGGTCTTCTTATTTTTGCTTTTGCCATAATAGTGAGGAAGAGATGGAAGAAGCCAACCCTGTTGAGGCCCACGACCGTGACTATGACCCCACCAAAGAGCCGAAGAAGGAGGTAATGAGAATTTGTAATAAATGCGTATTCAAATCAAAAGTATGTAAAAGCTGTTTACAGGTTCCTGTGAACCGTGTGTTTATATTTCATCTTTTTCCAGTGTCTCAATGCAGGGATTTGTTTTTCCTCCTGACAGAGTCATGCAGAGCCTCAGACGCTGAGCTCCAAAATTGCACTGGGACGCAGAGAGCACCAGACCCTGCAGCACCGTCACCACAGCCAGCGGGCCAAGTGCTGCCCTCCCAGAGGCATGTACCTCACACAGGAGGACGTGGTGGCCGTCTCCTGCAGCTCCAGCGCCGCTAACTCGGTCCTGCGGCAGCTCGACATGGAGCTGGTGTCCCTGAAGCGACAGGTACGCCAGGAATCTCCAAGAGGATCCAAACGATGGCCAACAAATCATTTTGAAAACAATGAATGCCAGTCACAGCCTTTGAAGAAGATTTTTAATGTTTTCTTTCCTCCTCACACATTTATCTGACATTATCAACAACAATTTAACAATTCAACTAATTTAATTTCGGTCCTCACAAATATTTCATTTCCAAAATACACATATTCACAGAAAAAGGTATAGCCGAAGCCCTTGCTTATTATGCCTACCTTTAATACATATTTAGCTAAACTTCACTTTTCTCAACAAAAACAAAAGTAACATTTCTACAATATATATAGGTCAAAGACATTAAGATGTCCGCATCAAAAGAAATGTACAAAAGTGATTTTATATCCATTGAAAGCACATTAAATGTAAGTAAAGTGTCTACTTTTAAGGTTTCAAATAAGTTTTTGGAGAATAAAATGTCAAAATTTGGTTGAAATAATGGTACATTGTCATTCAGTGTAACACAATATTTATGTAAAAATTCAAACAACATGCTTATTCTGACGTGTACATATTAAAATATATAAAAGAATAAGGGAGCATATTAAATTTGATTGTGTTTTAAATGAGTAAAACATTCTTACTGACAAATGGGCAAAAGCTAGGATAGTGGCAAATTTAAAAAATGTAAAATTACAACTAATTAGTATTTGGGGTGAAATTAATTAGTCTTTTAATATGTCATAAATTGATTTTTGTTGTAAATACGCCTGACAAGATTGTTATTTGTCTTCTGCAAATAGGGAAAATGTAGGATATTTATTTTTTGCTCGGAAAAACAAAATTGCAATTAAACTAAACAGAAAACCTTTTAATTTCTTTTAGGAAAAACAACAACAGTTTAAAGCAGTATTACACTTACTGTTTTTATGCTCAAACCCTTTTTCGTCTTTGACCCACATACATAACAAAAAACACTTGTCAAATATTGATTCAATAATTAAACTCAAATCTATTCGTTTTCCGTTGTATACCCATTAACCATGTCTTAAAACATTTTCTTAAGTTTACAACGTGAAATACACATTTTTTATTTCTTCTCACACTTATTCCATAGCTTTGCTCCTTTGACAGATACACATCTCTTTTTTTATATATTTGTCCTTGCCCTTATTTTTTTAAACGTATACATTCCCCTTCATTTATATTGACTTTCTCAATTCGAGCAACCTCTGAATACTGTTTGGAAGTAAACTATTATGTACTTTATACATAATCTGGACAGTACAGAAATCAACTAATTTTTAAAGCGTTTAACTTAATAAATAATATATTCTTTAGGTTCAGAATGCCAAGCAGTTAAACAGTGGACTTAAGCAGAAGATTGAAGATGGAATTGATGAATTCAGACTGCCTGAGGTGACTCCCTTGTGCATATGTGCATTATAATCTGAGGCGTCTTAGTGTTTGTTTGTATATTACCATCATTCTCACAACTGTTACGTTTTTGTTCCAGTGCACCCAAAAAATTAATGCCCGCTGGACAACAGATGAGCAGCTTTTGGCAGTACAAGGCAAGCAAACGGTTAATGGTATGACTTCTGCAACTCTGTTCTTGTACTAAATTTCATTCACAACATGTTTTGCCTCATTTAACCAGGAGTACGGAAATACGGGAAGGACTTCCAGGCTATTGCTGATGTGATCGGGAATAAAACGCTGGGACAGGTGAAGAATTTCTTTGTGAACTATCGGCGGCGCTTTAACTTGGATGAGGTGCTTCAGGAATGGGAGGCGGAGCAGGGCGCTCCCAGCGGAGACGGTGCCAGCTCTGCTGAGGATGGGAAGAACAGCAACAGCTCCTCGGGAAAGAGCACCGATGAGGAAGAGGAAGAGGTACGGCTTGATCCTGAGAAATCATAGTCGGAAAAATCTGAAAAATTTTATTTCGTTTTTTCTAAATGGAACATTATTGAACCTTTAGACAAAAAAAAAAAAAAAATAAGTCTGCATAGTTTTATGAGTATCGTATTTGATATGTCAGGCTTTTATAGCTCACATAAATATGCTGAGAATACAGAGAAAGAAACCTTCGTTTTATTTAGAGGTCCAAACCGAGCCAAAATATGCACTTTGATATTTATATCCAGGGCTCTACAGTGCGACCATTTGCGACTGAAAACTACTGCGTGTGACTATGAAAAATGTTTTAGGAGCAGCAGACCCGATCATCATCATACTTGTGATTGCGCTCAGGGGAGCTTTAACGCTTTCTACGTGTTTTTGCAGCGTTGAGTAATGTATCACAGACATATCTCACGAATCCTTTCATAAGCAAAGTGTAGACAGGGTGTAAATAAGAGATTGTCTGCATAGTTTTATGAGTATCGTATTTGATATGTCAGGCTTTTATAGCTCACATAAATATGCTGAGAATACAGAGAAAGAAACCTTCGTTTTATTTAGAGGTCCAAACCGAGCCAAAATATGCACTTTGATATTTATATCCAGGGCTCTACAGTGCGACCATTTGCGACTGAAAACTACTGCGTGTGACTATGAAAAATGTTTTAGGAGCAGCAGACCCGATCATCATCATACTTGTGATTGCGCTCAGGGGAGCTTTAACGCTTTCTACGTGTTTTTGCAGCGTTGAGTAATGTATCACAGACATATCTCACGAATCCTTTCATAAGCAAAGTGAGA